GACAAGTTATTTTTTCGACTGGAATCAACACTACTATTTAAAATTTACATATAGTAATTATTTAAAGAGAATTACTATTATACTAGAGAAATTTGACGCAATATCTGTATTTCAGCCTGTTGGAGGAAAATTCCTGAGTTTTGATTACATAAAATTCTGGGTTGGAAATGCTAAGCAGGTAAATTCTCATGCAGAACGTTTCTTAATATGTAGGAAATATCGTAGAAATAAGTCTAAAAATAAACAGGAATCATAAATATATGATATGCAATATGATTCTATTCTTTATCTATTCCCTCGTTGAGTTTTATCAGTTTTATCGAGCCATGTACAAATAAACTTTGTTAGTTTTTGTCCTAAATCCATTCTTATATTTCCCATGTATCAAAAAATGCCTTATAAAGCAACATATAAAAATAATAATTGAGTCCATAATCAAACAAAAAAATTTTGAAACAAGTTAAATTATAATTAATATATCAACAAAAATTATAAATTGAAAGGCGTTTTGGGACCACCAGTACTTCTTCAACTAACATAATTTAAATATGAGAGACGAGGGAATCGTATATATTATATATAATCACATAAAAAAAGATACATCAATTATATATGAAAATAAAACACAATTGTGCTTTTAGGCCGCCAGTTTCTATCGATGTAGAATGGGATTCGAACCATTTGGATATCGTGGTTTGGAAACCGGCTGCAGACAAACAGCGGCACACGTTGTCAAACAGAACAAAGTGAGTAATTTTGAACATTTTCATGCGCGAATTCATAAGCAGTAAATTAGAAAAATATCTTTATTTTAATTAATTGCTTATTTGATGATCCAAATGATTGTTTTTTTCGAAATTTTGAATATTATCTTTCGAGATACACATAGAATTTCCTAATCATATTTGTAGATAGTGTTCGTGTTCGAATCTCCGTACGAACCTGATAACGAAGAAATATCAGATCATCTTTCCCGACATGGAGACGGCGTGCGAGATGTAGCATTCAATGTTGAAGATATCGACACAATTGTGAAGGTAAAGAAATAAAGGAGATGCTTTTTCTTCATCTAAAAATATAAATTCTCTGTAAATATAGAATTTCCATGTTACAAGATGAAATATTCTTTCTGAAATAGAAATAATTAAAAACAGCGCTTTAACTTTTATCCTATTGGAAACTGATAGCAAAGTAACTTTCAAGTTATCTTCATTAATATTTGAAATGATGTATGCAAAGGTTGCTAAGCGAAAGGGCGCCGAAATAGTGCGCGACATATGGGAGGAAAGCGACGAATATGGCATCGTGAGGATGGCCACTGTGAAAACTGTAAATATAAAAAAGATGATACTTCCTTATACAATCTGCGATATCATTGTCTTCTAGACGTTTCAATTAATTCAACGTTATTTTTATCAGTATGGTGATACGCTCCATACATTTGTTGATAGAACGAGATACAAAGGCTTCTTCTTGCCGGGTTTCGTGAAGGTATCAAAGGATGCTCTTCTCGATCAATTGTATGTATGCAAAAGCGCGATTTCTCACACAATAGCCTTAGTTAAAACCACTCCACTTTAGAAAGAAAACTAGAACATATACAATACATATTTTAATAATATCTTACAATACTACTTATCTTTGACGAAAAGAATGTTTTATATATTAGAAAAATATAAAGAATCTTCTCTTATTAAAATTCCAAAATATAATTAATCTGATGTTAAACACAAAAAAGACATGAGAAATACTTGACAGTTAACTTTAAATTATATATTACCGATGTGTTTTTTATTGTAGGCCGCAAGTACATTTGAATTTCGTAGACCATGTAGTGGGTAACCAGCCCGACAAACAAATGGAACCCGTTGCGAAATGGTATGTAAATTACTACTTCTGAACATGTTTATATACTAATGAGACATGTATACAGAAAAGCTTAGAGAGAAGAGTTTAGAGAAAAATATTTTAGACAAAAATTGTAAGATTTAAAGGGGAATATAGAAAGTATCATTGGTTTGACCTTGGGTGATACTGCTTAGATAAGGTCAAAGTCTTAAAATTTTTTTAATAGATTCTTTATTTCATCGCATATTCTTAAAGCTTATTTCGATAGCTCTTCAAAATACTATAACGTGTTTCTTCATTAAGTACTTTTTGAGTTATAAGGCTTAAAAAGTTACAGAGAGTACTGCCGCGCCGGCAGTACTGTATTAATATTATCTAAGATAAAAATATAAAGCAAAAAAATAGTTTAAATTTATTAATATTATCTAAAGTAAAAATATAAAACAGAAAAATAGTTTAAATTTACAAACTGACACTGAAGGTCTCCATAAGGCATATATATCTATTCTAAATAAAGTTTGATTCTTCGATACTGACAATCCATCTTCTCTCTCCGTGTTGATCCGTATCAGCAAGTGTACATTATGATCGACATACAATGTCCGTCTTACACATCTACGTTCCATTAAACTTTGTACATTTCAATTGATTTTTTATACTTATGGACATACTTGTTTGAATAATTTACATATGCTTTTGATGAGTTTTAATTATTTGTTAGAATTCCGATATGTTACTTTGATTGTGTTTATTATTTCGTAAGAAAACTTTTTTATCTTTTTTATCGACTAAAACTTTTTCCAGAAATATGAAACACATTTGACTGTTCAATCGTATGTGAATAATATCAAGTTCTATATCAAGACTCACCCGAGCTGTTATTATAAGGAATATGCGGGTGATAACTAATTTTGTACAGCGATTTTTATGATAAGTTCATGTCTGAAGAGGTCAAATCCGGAAGCCGAAACTTGTAACATTTTATATTTTAATTGAAACTGTTTTTTTCATTTTTATTTTTCTTTGTAATTTATTCTTTTTAATTGTGTTACAATTTAAAATATGTTTGACTCTTTTACTTTGCCCTTTATTTATTATCTAAGGTGTCTAATCGATGGCTAAAACCTCTTGAATGTTGTTCAAGATTCAAATCATGACCTGAATAACATTTGTTAAGATCAAGGCCATGGAGGTTGTGCCTCTTATTTTCGTTTTAGATCAGTTAATAATAGCGTCTGTCATAATTTTCATTAATAAAATAACGTTATGTAATAGTAGAATAAAATACGTATTTAAAATAAAGTTCACGCTGGTTCATCGAATTTCACGAGACTTCTAAATTAGAAATTTCCAAATTCCTGCTGTTAGTAAAATATTCTTAAGCTGAAAAATAAAATACTAAATTTAAATGAAGATTTCTCTTTTTCTATCTCTCTCAGGTACGAAGACTGTTTACAGTTTCATAGATTCTGGTCAGTAGACGACTCGCAGTTGCACACGGAATATTCCGCGTTACGGTCCATCGTAATGACAAATTGGGAGGAGACGGTGAAGATGCCAATCAACGAACCCGCTCCGGGGAAGAAACGTTCCCAGATTAAGGAATATGTCGAATATTATGGCGGTGCCGGCGTACAACATATTGCCCTTAATACCAGTGACATTATTACAGCGGTAAATTAAGCGTTCTGCATAGAATATGTACGTTGTGCATAAAATTGTATTTATGCACAACGTACATATCCTGCAAAATACAACTATGCAATACAAAAGCAACTTTAAAAACCAACTTTTTAGTCACAGTCTCTTAACATTTTTATTCTGTGATCTTTAATAATTAACATAATATTTTTAATTCAATATATATAAATTAAGATATCGTATAAAAAATGTCGCACACTCACAATAAGTTTCTCCACACATTCCATTTTCACGCATCATTTTACAGATAACGAATCTGCGTGCCAGAGGTATGGAGTTTCTTCATGTACCCGATAGTTATTACGACATGCTCAGAAACCGTCTAAAAGCCAGTGGCACGAAAATCGTGGAGGACTTGGATATGCTACAGGTACTTTTATTAATAATGAATTAAAATTAATTCCGGTACAAGTTTCAACGCGTTTAATATTAATTCGATTGTATTATCGCTTTGCAGAAATTAAAGATACTAATAGATTATGACGAGAATGGCTATCTTCTACAAATATTCACGAAAAATATGCAAGATCGGCCAACATTGTTTATAGAAGTCATACAGAGGCGCAACCATAACGTAAGTATTAAAAGAAAACTTTGTAGCATCACATCTATAAATTTACAAAAAAATTAACTGGTATAAAAATTCAAAAAATTAATTAATATTTAAATAATCACAAATTTAATTTGCTACTTCTTGTTTAGGGTTTCGGCGCCGGCAATTTCCAAGCGTTGTTCGAAGCGATTGAATTGGAGCAAGCAAAACGTGGCAATCTGTAGAAAGTTAAATATTGCTGATGTATTTGTAAAATTAGAACTATTAGCCGACATAAAGTATGAAAGAATGAAGGACGAGTACTTAATTATATTATTTTAATTATATAATGAAATATCACATTAAAAGTGTATTATGCATATAAAATTCGCATCGAGATTTATTCAGCACCATCTAACACTCTGTTACATACCACTATTATAATGATAATTCGTTCACATTGTAATAGAGTTGTACGCTTTATCATGTTTGACGAAAATCAGTCAAGGTTTTACGTTTTCGTCTGTGGAATAGATAATCAACTTGTCTGATTAATTCCGTATTCTTGTATTTAATGGCCAACATTTTCGTATTACAAAAATACACAGCATTTTAAAATGTAAAATATGTTACAATACATTTCAAAGCGTAGTAATGCAAAGACATAATATGCCATCAAAAATCAAACTCCTTCGATTAATGAGACATCTATGTGTATATGTTGTGCTAGTATGTATAGCTAAAAAAGTGTAAATTTGTTTTTTCCGACAACATACATATATATATATATAAATATGTATGTATTCGTATGTATGTGTGTATGTGTGTATATATATATATATATGTTGTATACGGAAAAAACTGACGAAATGACTTAAACTGTGTAATATCGGATGTTTCGATTCGTTCTCTTTTTTTTGTGGCCAAGATATAAGAGGAGATATTCTTCATATAAAACTTGTAATATCTATGGAAAGAATAGGGATAGGTAGGATGTGATTGTGACGAGAAGATTATCGATGAGATTAGGTAGCTCACTTATTAATCGCGATCTCCAGGATGTCCGTCACTCGACAACTTGTCTGTTCACACGCTCATCGCATGTACTTGATCTTCCTCGTTCATGCGCTATCATGAATACTAAGGCGAAAGATATCATGCTGACAATAGTATGAATTACCCATTGGTTTCAGCACAAACAATTGCGAGAAGGCGTGTGGTGGATCCTCGTCTGCCTATAATTAAACGCAATCTATATGTTATACATATAACAATATGTATTAAGAGATACTTATTAAATACATGATAAAGCAATGCCAATGTTAACGTTAATTACATTAAAACATTGTGATTCAATTTTCAATGTTAAAAATATAAAAATATGATTTTTAAAATGTTAATTTACAAAGTAGCCTAATTATTATTCCAATTTGTTCAGCAATTTAATCTTGTATTGAGCTACCTATTCATAATTCAAGTCAAATTCAATTAGTGATCGTACATTTGTGCCATTTTCACAGGGACCTGGTAACTTGTCACTTTGATTTGCACATCTGAGACCTCCGAATTAGATATACGTTTCATGCATGTTTATACATTTATAACATAATTATTTTAGATTACGGTACACACGTTTTAAGTAAAATAGATTAATAAAATAAATAAAAGGAAATACGTAACAATCGAAAATAAAAATAAGTAAAAGATACTGCAAAAAGTACTAAACTGCAACAATTATAAAGAATATTAACAAAATTTAATGTCATGTTATCACAATTGGTTTTAAACGTAACTCAGACTTTTAATATAACCTATAAGAGAATTCAGATATGTTACAATATATTGAGTTCTATTGCTCTAGAAATTCTTTGCTAGATTAAGATAGAATGAAAGCAATATGCAGCAAATATATGAAACATCAGACAAGGAGACTTTGCGATACCTGATGCCTAAACCGTGTCGTGCAATGCAAGTCTGAAGATATCGTGCTGCACATAAAAGCTGGTACCGATTGGCTTCAGGACAAATGTCTGGATGTACGCATGAGGTTGATCCTCGTCAGTCTATACGATCATCAGTAATCACTAAATATTTTTCGGTAATTGATAAAAACCTCTTATTATAGAACTTCTTTCCCGTCTGTAATTTCTACCTATAGTTGTATTTCCCATATATAAAACTTATTTTATTTCTAATTAAATACATCACATCCAGTAATTTCTCTTTTTGTACAAATACGTGTATAAAAACAAAGTTTGCGGAACTATTAAAAAATAAAAATTAAATTACTGAACCGATTGGCTTAGATTAAAACGTAAATCTCACATATACTTTAAAATGTATAAAATTATAATACTTTTTATCACATAATATAACTTAAAGTTGTCTCTCACTACATAATTAATTATTAAATAGTAAAACTTAGGTTAATACATTAAACGAGCTATAGTTAGGTGTACTAAATAATATTATTAATCACAAATTATAATTTTCCGACAATAAGTTTCAACAATACGTTTTGATTATACTTAGTCCTCATCAGCCGCAGAAATACATAAATACCTAAATACCTAATTATATTAATATATTATAAGGAACATCTCACATTCGAGTTACAATAGATAATATAACAGATTTCTAAGAATCATCTCACCTTCGTGTTACAAAGGACAATATATCGCAACTATATATTATCTATTGTAACTCGAAACAAATGTGAGATATTCCTCATAATATGTTAATATAATTAGATATTTGGGTATTTATGTATTTCTGCGGCTGATGAGGACTAAGTATAGTTGAAACGTATCATCGGCAAATTATAATTTATGATTAATAAATATTATTTAATACACCTAACTATAGCTCGTTTAACGTATTGACCTGGGTTTTACTATTTATTAATTTGTTGTAAGTTATACGAGCGAAAAGAATTGATATTATTTATATTGTAATA